TTTGCAACAACTTCTGCTTTTAAAAAAGTGCTTTTTTTAATGAAATGGGGAGAAGTGATTAAATAAAAGTTGATAGTGTTTGAGAAAAAAGTGATTTTGAAAAGTAAAAGTGGGTAGTGTTTGGTAAAATAAGTGCTTTTTGTGTAATAGAAAAAGTAAAATCACTTTTGACGCGGAAGCCGAGAAAAATAAAAGTTGTAGTGTTTGAGAAAATAAGTGCTTTTTTAAAGCCAAAAGCTGAGAAGTGCTTTTTTAAAAGCAGTTGCAAACCAACCCTGAGGTAGCTTGGGTCATCGCGGCGGCGTGGGTTGGAGTTTGTTTTTTGTGGCCGGGGTGTTATTTGTGAGGTCTGAAGCCTAAAGGTGTTGGCGGTGGGTTATTTTCCGATATGTGGAAGTCGTTGGAAGAGGTCTGAATAGGGAGTTTCTGAGGGAATGAGTATGTGGCTGATATTAAGGGCTTGGTTATTTGGGTCTGGGATTATTCCGGATTTGGGCCGGCCCATCTCAAGTCATTTGGGGTGTTTTCGGTCTTTATAATTTGGCCTTTAGATATATGGTGTGGATTTATGAAGGATGGCTTAACTTTATCTTCTACAAAAAGATGACATTGTTTTGTATTGTTATGATATGATATCGTCCCGTTTGAAAATGGAACAATACCAAATGGGTTTAGGTTCCTAAATTCGATTGACCCCATCCCGTTCGTACTTCGGTGATGCTTTTGCGTATTTGTTGGATACGATAGTATTTTTTATCTTTTGTAAAATATAAAGTGATTTCTTTTTAACCATGATATTGTAAGTGTGTTTCATTTATTTCTTTGAGTTATATCAATATTGCATGGAGATAGATGTTGTAATCGATGGTGTAATTTGAATTGGTGAGCACAAATAAATTTGAAAGAAAAATTCCCCGAGCGTGCAACGCACGGGTGCTCATACTAGCGACACAGAGGGATTAAAATATCAGAATAATATAACACATTTTCACATATTTGCCAAGTCCCCTGATTTGTCCTATTACATAGGCAATTCATATAAATTTATAGTCACTATATTACTTGGTCATTATAAAAAAACCTTTGAAAATGGAAAAATTATTTTTTAAAATCATTTATATATCACGCAAGTGAATTACTCAACTAGAAGTGTCAACATCAAGTTTTAGTTCACATAAAAAATCCGGTAAATGTTCACCGACATTTACCCCATTAACTTTGATGGTTTGCCTTCCGAGTTTAAAAAAAGAGTGGGTTGAGATGTGATATTCGTTCAAACCCTAATTTAAACATTAAATAACAGAAACACAAGTTTGATTGAGTGTTTGGGTGAAAGTATATAAGTACTTTTGGTGCTTTTATTTACTCCTAGAAGAAGTTTATTTAAAAGCAGAGGGATACCAGCTTATTGTTTATGATTCTATTTCTGCTTTAAAAAGAAGCAGAAGCATAATAAGTTCCAAACACTCCCTTATGCATATTTGAAAATAATGATGTGTTGCGGGTGAAAGTAATGATGGTCATGTTCGTATTACCATTCTTAAAGATCTATTGATACACACAGATGGAGATCCTATATATAGCTGCGAATGTTGAAAGCATATTTCTGGAATGTGTTGAATTTGCAGGTGATATGAGTTATTTGGGTGACCGTGCAATTTTGGCACCGACACTGCCTGTGGTTGAAGCTGTTAATGGCTATATGACGGCTCTTAATGTTGGTGAAGTTTCAAGAATATATCTTAGTTCTGACAATGTTTCTAAGGTAGATTCTACGACCGATCTAATGGCAGAAATGCACACACCTGGGTTCTTGAATAGTATTCAGAGAAATGTTCAACAATGTTTAAGTTTACATTAAATACATATTTACAATGTTGTGGTTTCAACGTATTAGTTGGATATTTTTTATCTATTAAGTACGGAGTAATGCTTAGTACTCTCATTTTGATCTTGATATTACAAGTGTGCTTCGTTTAATGCTTTGATATATATTAGTATTACATGAAGATAGATGATGTCATTAATTGATAGTGTGATTTAAATCACTAAGCACACATAAATTTGGAAAAAATACATGAAGATCATATATCTACCAGATTAGACCAAACATACCAATTCAGACCAGATCAGAAACATTCAAACCAATTAAAAACACCCTAAGAATGACATAAGTATTTTCACATATCTGCACCCCCCTGATTTGCCAATTTACCAGGGCAATTCGTGTAAAAAATGCAATTCGCATAAATGCATAGTCACCATATTACTTGAGATGTTTATACTTAGACTTATTTCAGTGTCAGACCAAAACAAACTTAAACAAAACAGACCAATTCAGACCAGATAAGAAACATTCAAACCAATTAAAAACATCCTAAGAATGACGTAAGTATTTTCAAATATATGCACCCCCTGATTTGCCAATTTACCAGAGCAATTTATGTAAAAAAAAAATCAATTCGCATAAATGCATAGTAACCATATTACTTGAGATGTTTATACTTAGACTTATTTTAGTCTCAGACCAAACCAAACTTAAACAAACCAGACCAATTCAGACTAGATCAGAAACATTCAAACCAATTAAAAACACCGTAAGAATGACATGAGTATTTTCACATATCTGCACCCCCTGATTTGCCAATTTACCCGGGCAATTCGTGTAAAAATGCAATTCGCATAAATGCATAGTCACCATATTACTTGAGATGTTTATATTTAGACTTATTTCAATCTCAGACCAAACCTAACTTAAACAAACCAGACCAATTCAGACCAGATAAGAAACATTCAAACCAATTAAAAACACCCTAAGAATGACATAAATATTTTTCACATATATGCACCCCCTGATTTGCCAATTTACCAGAGCAATTCGTGTAAAAATGCAATTCGCATAAATGAATAGTAACCATATTACTTGAGATGTTTATACTTAACCTTATTTCAGTCTCAGACCAAACCAGACCAATTCACACCAGATCAGAAACATTCAAACCAATTAAAAACACCCTAAGAATGACATAAGTATTTTCACATATCTGCACCCCCCTGATTTGCCAATTTACCAGGGCAATTCGTGTAAAAAATGCAATTCGCATAAATGCATAGTAATCATATTATTTGAGATGTTTATACTTAAACTTATTTCGACCAAACCAAACTTAAACAAACCAGAAAAATTCAGACCAGATCAGAAACATTCAAACCAATTAAAAATACCCTAAGAATGACATAAGTATTTTGACATATCTGCACCCCCTGATTTGCCAATTTACCAGTGCAATTCGTGTAAAAAATGCAATTCGCATAAATGCATAGTCACCATATTACTTGAGATGTTTATACTTAGACTTATTTCAGTCTCAGACCAAAACAAACTTAAACAAAACAGACCAATTCAGACTAGATAAGAAACATTCAAACCAATTAAAAACATTCTAAGAATGACGTAAGTATTTTCACATATATGCACCACCTGATTTGCCAATTTACCAGAGCAATTTATGCAAAAAAAATCAATTGCATAAATGCATAGTAACCATATTACTTGAGATGTTAATACTTAGACTTATTTCAGTCTCAGACCAAACCAAACTTAAACAAATCAGACCAATTCAGACTAGATCAGAAACATTCAAACCAATTAAAAACACCGTAAAAATGACATAAGTATTTTCACATATCTGCACCCCCTGATTTGCCAATTTACCAGGGCAATTCGTGTAAAAATGCAATTCGCATAAATGCATAGTCACCATATTACGTGAGATGTTTATATTTAGACTTATTTCAATCTCAGACCAAACCTAACTTAAACAAACCAGACCAATTCAGACCAGATAAGAAACATTCAAACCAATTAAAAACACCCTAAGAATGACATAAATATTTTTCACATATATGCACCCCCTGATTTGCCAATTTACCAGAGCAATTCGTGTAAAAATGCAATTCGCATAAATGCATAGTAACCATATTACTTGAGATGTTTATACTTAACCTTATTTCAGTCTCAGACCAAACCAGACCAATTCACACCAGATCAGAAACATTCAAACCAATTAAAAACACCCTAAGAATGACATAAGTATTTTCACATATCTGCACCCCCCTGATTTGCCAATTTACCAGGGCAATTCGTGTAAAAAATGCTATTCGCATAAATGCATAACAATCATATTATTTGAAATGTTTATACTTAGACTTATTTCGACCAAACCAAACTTAAACAAACCAGAAAAATTCAGACCAGATCAGAAACATTCAAACCAATTTAAAATACCCTAAGAATGACATAAGTATTTTCACATATCTGCACCCCCCGCTTTGCCAATTTACCAGGGCAATTCGTGTAAAAAATGCAATTCACATAAATGAATAGTAACCATATTACTTGAGATGTTTATAATTAGACTTATTTCAATCTCAGACCAAACCAAACTTAAACAAACCAGACCAGTCTATACTTGGATATTAGAAATAGTAGAAGCACGTAGAACATTTCCCCACAATTTTACATTCAAGTATAATTCAAGAATGACATAACACGCTTTCACATATTTTACTCACTTATTTTACCTATTTAGAGAGACAATTTGTCTAAAAATGCAATTCGTATAATTTCATAGTCACCTTATTACTTAGTCATTATAAATAATTTACCTTCAATTAATTTTTATGAACCTTTGAAAATGAATAAAAATGGAAAAATCATTTGCCCATCGCAAGGTGAGTTACTAGCTTACCAGTTTACTAAAAGAAATGATTTTGACATAAGTTAGTACGAGCTAAAGTGTGTTGATTCCTAAGCATTCCTATTAACAACTTCAAATGTTAGCAGACATTGTGGCACATTGGTTTTGTTGTTGAAAATGACTTTTTTAGTCATATTCCAACTTTGTGTGGTTAGGTTAATAATAATCATTCAACATTATAGCATGTGATACATACTTGTTGAGGTTTAGTCCCGTAGATCCGGAAGCCCAACATAAACTTCGGATATTAAGGACGATGGATTCGGTATAAAAGTGAATAATAAATATAAAAGGTGTATGAACTAGCTATTTTTACGTGGAAACCCGGAAAGGGAGAAAACCACGGGACTTTTTAGGCTAACGTCCAAGCCCGCTCTTTTCATTCATCTGCTCTCCTCACCATTTTACATGCTACAAATAACTTGGAGCCTCCATTAATGGAGCTCATGTTCCTAGCTACAAAGGGAGAAGAAGAAGAAAGCAGTAAAGAAGGAGAGCCAAAGATCTGATCCTTTTCCCTGGAAACATTCCTCCCTATTTATAGAAAAGGGGAAGGGGTTAAGGGTTTCTCTAATGGGCCAATAGGCCCAAATGGGCCGGTTGGGCCTAATTGGGCCTAGCTGACTGGGCTCCTTATCGGGACGATGCCTCGGGCCTCAGAATAGTAGTAGGCCGAGATATTATTCCCCAACACAAGTCCCCCAGTTTCTTGAGTAGTGAGCCTGTGAATCTGCTCGAGAAAGTATACTCTTGCTCACGTCCTTCCCTGAATCAGTGCTTGAATAGTCTTGGACGCAAGGCATGCATAAATGATGAACGAGGTGCAGTCCCTCGCTAGGCACGGCGGCGCTGAAAAGCCAGTCGCTCGTGCTGTATAAAGCGGCGGTCGCCATCCCAGATCAAGGATGGACGAGCCCGACCGAGAGCCAGGCACGACGGTGCTGTGGAGACCGTGCGTGCTGCATAAGAGCGACGGTTGCCATCCCAGAGCAAAGATGGATGAGCCCGCCAGAAAGCCATGCACGACGGTGCTGTGGAACCCGTTCGTGCTGCATAAGAGCGACGGTCACCATCCCAGAGTAAGGATAGACGAGCCCGTCAGAAAACCATGCACGACGGTGCTGTGGAGCCCATACGTGCTGCATAAGAGTGACGGTTGCCATCCTAGAGCAAGGATGGACGAGCCCGCCATAAAGCCAGGCACGACGGTGCTGTGGAGCCCGTACGTGCTGCATAAGAGTGACGGTTGCCATCCTAGAGCAAGGATGGACGAGCCCGCCATAAAGCCAGGCACGACGGTGCTGTGGAGCCCGAACGTGCTGCATAAAATAAGAGATCGTCATCCTAGATTAAGGATGGACCAACATGACTCGGACAGACATGGACTTGACTCGACTCAGACAGACCTGGACTTGACTCAGACGGACATGGACTTGACTCGACTCAGACAGACCTGGACTTGACTCGAGACCACTGCGGGCCATCATGAATTCACATCACCTCCCAGCCAATTATATCCCCCGTTCGTTCGCCTTCGCCGAACGGGTCGTTCTCCCCTGGTCGTTCCAAACAATAGTTCCATTCGACCGTTCGTCCCACTAGAACGGTCTGATGTACAACGATGATCACGTCGTGCCGAGGTGGCTGAAAAGCCAGTCGCTCGTGCCGTATAAAGCGGCGGTCGCCATCCCAGATCAAGGATGGACGAGCCCGACCGAGAGCCAGGCACGACGGTGCTGTGGAGACCGTGCGTGCTGCATAAGAGCGACGGTTGCCATCCCAGAGCAAAGATGGATGAGCCCGCCAGAAAGCCATGCACGACGGTGCTGTGGAACCCGTTCGTGCTGCATAAGAGCGACGGTCGCCATCCCAGAGTAAGGATAGACGAGCCCGTCAGAAAACCATGCACGACGGTGCTGTGGAGCCCATACGTGCTGCATAAGAGTGACGGTTGCCATCCTAGAGCAAGGATGGACGAGCCCGCCATAAAGCCAGGCACGACGGTGCTGTGGAGCCCGTACGTGCTGCATAAGAGTGACGGTTGCCATCCTAGAGCAAGGATGGACGAGCCCGCCATAAAGCCAGGCACGACGGTGCTGTGGAGCCCGAACGTGCTGCATAAAATAAGAGATCGTCATCCTAGATTAAGGATGGACCAACATGACTCGGACAGACATGGACTTGACTCGACTCAGACAGACCTGGACTTGACTCAGACGGACATGGACTTGACTCGACTCAGACAGACCTGGACTTGACTCGAGACCACTGCGGGCCATCATGAATTCACATCACCTCCCAGCCAATTATATCCCCCGTTCGTTCGCCTTCGCCGAACGGGTCGTTCTCCCCTGGTCGTTCCAAACAATAGTTCCATTCGACCGTTCGTCCCACTAGAACGGTCTGATGTACAACGATGATCACGTCGTGCCGAGGTGGCTGATCGTAGAGCTACAGAAGCGGTCAGATCATCTGGATAATAGGTCATTTCTGCTACAAGTCAGCACCAGGGTTAAGGTGCAAGCTGTTCGGCTTATTTCCGCCATTTGTTCGTAGTTTCCTGATCCGCAAGGTATCACCTCTTGCTGCCTGTTGCCTTATAGGCCCAAGGCTGATGTAACTTGTTCGTGTTATCATCCGTGTTCTTCCTGATCCGCAAGGCAATCACCTCTTGCTGCCTTGTAGGCCCAAGGCTGATGTAACTTGTTCGTGTTATCATCCGTGTTCTTTCTTATCCGCAAGGCAATCACCTCTTGCTGCAAGACAGTTTCACAATTTGTGTAGTGTCTGCCATCTTCCAAGCCCATAATTCCGATGCATACCGTCGGTTTTACCGTCCGGGGTCATCCATATCATGAGGTTGAGATGTCCATCCTGGACCATTGAAAATAAGGCTCCCAATCCGGGTCTCCCCCTTATTCTCTGCCAAAATGGAGACTCGCCTCCAGGATACAGCTCGGGTTCCACCACCATAAGGTTCGGGCGAGCTGTATGGCCAAGGCAAGATTTTAAGACCAGAGTCCCGATCCCCCGCTCGGTCACCCTATGACTTCGGATGCCGCCCGGTTCGTCCTACTCAAGATCTTTTACACCATCTCCCAAGCTGAGTCCGGGCTTGGTTAACCTGCATCTTTTTTTTTTTTTTTTTTTTTTTTTTTTTTTTTTGTGCTGAGATGGTGGCTCCCCATGGATCGAGACAAGTGGTATCTATCGATCGAGGTGAGACTTTATGGAATGTGAAGATGCCTCCTAAGCAAATAATGTCGTGCTGTGGGGCTGATCATGATATGAGGAACATGAATAATCCAAGGGTCTTGCGAGCGCCCTCTGCTCAAGGACAATGGCAGCAACTGCGGCAGCGGTCCACAAAATGTAGCCATGCTGAAAGTCAAGCAACGGTCCTCATCCGCGCAGTGCGGGGACGAGGCCGGTCTTCAAATATGATAATGGCACCGTACCAGAGGGTCGGTGGCCATGTAATGAGGTCGCCACTGGGGGCTGATCGGAACAGAACTAGCAACGGTCCTTATCTGCACGATGCGGGGACAAGGCCGGTCTTCAAATATGATAAGGGCACCGTACCAAATGGTCGGTGGCCATGTAATGATGTCGGCGCTGGGGGCCGATCAGAAACAAATAATCAGCGGTCCTCATCCGTGAAGAGCAGAAATGAGGCCGGTCTTCCAAATGATCACCATGCCGAGCCAGAAGAGTCGGTTGTGGTGAGAGGAAAGTCGGCGCTGGGAGGTCGATCTGTAAATCCGAGGGTTTTACAGGCGCCCTCAGCCCATAATGTTGCTCTAGGTGCCGAACGGCGAAGGCCGGATTGCCAGTCAGGTAGCGTAATCTGAAAGCTCGTGTATCGTACAGTCCATAGAACTTCCCTTCATGTGTTGTGACATCTATACATTTGTAGTCCCTTCTTTTCTCAATTGTCCATGATTCCTTCTACACACTAGTAACCTCACTCTCTCTCTCACTCCTTTTTTTTTTTTTTTCCTTTTTTTTTTTTCATTCCTTTTTTTTTTCTTTCCTCTCTTTTTTTTTTCCCTCTTTTTTTTTCTTGCGTTTCCCGATCTTCCTGTCCGGTCTGACCGAACGGCTCTAAATGTAAATGTTCCTTCTTTTTGTTGCCAATCATGAGCGTCTGTGCGCGTCACATCGAACGTCATGAACATCTCTGTGCGTCATGAACGTCTCCCTGTTCGGGCTACCCGAACGGCTTTGAATAAATGTGATTCTTTTCTTGTTGCCGGGCATGAACGTCGATGCACTTCATGATCTCCCCGTTCGAGACTATCGAACAAATTTCACTGCACAATAAGCATGGTGATACGGCCGAACGGCCGGACAACATATACAAGTATATACAATCACACATGTATAACATTTCCCTTTTATTTTTTATTTTTCATCCATGACTATCGGCCGAAGCGGTAATGATAAGCCTTAGCCTAGATTCCGATCTATTAGAGTCCCCGACTCGAAACACGTAGTGTTTTGTTGGGTATTCAAGTACGTATTTCGCCCCGTACTGGGTATAGTTGCCGTTCAGGCACTTCATGCCAATCGGGACCATGAATGGTCCCCTAAATTAAAACACGTCACCGGGCTACGCCCTTGTGCGACGCTTTAGTTACTTTAGGCCGATCGGGGGTGGACCGATATGCCCAGTAAAACTAATCATTTAATTAAAATGATGGTGAGCTTATTTACAAAACTTTGTTTGGCGTTATCCCGTTCGGGATGTTTCCATCCCTAGGCCCACCAACACCGGTCATTTAATTTTTAAAATGATGGTGAACTCATTACTAGAGCTTTCCTCGACAATATTTAATTTGGGATATTCTAATCCCTACTAATTTAATCATGGCGATGTGTAATTCATAGTAATGATACTACAACAAATCTTTAATATTTGTCATGAACGAACCACGGATGCCGAGCGGGTCCATAAATGCTCCAACCGCCGATTAAGGCTGATCGGGGTAGGTCGAGCGGGCCTCATCACTCACTATCATTTTGTTCGGGATACTTTGATCCCTTCGAAGTAATGATACTTCAACTAACAGTAATGATACAAAAGATTAATGTTCTAACATAATTAAGAGTGAGATGATAGCGGTACTTAGCTTTCAACCAGGTGAGATAACGAGGCCAAATACTCCGTATTCTTTGTTCTGTGCCAGCTTCGCCTATTCGCACAGTACAAATTAATTGGATAAGGATCCTGCCCAAACAATTCCTAATGAACTCCAAGGGCATAGCCGCATGGTCAATCGTCACAACAGAGCAACCCGAATTCACTGATGAAACCAGGAGAAGCCGAACGGTAAAGGTGCCGAACGGGGAGATGCCGGACGGACGAACGGTAATGGTTATTCTGCATATTGTAGCCTGACCGGGGTCTGACATCCCATACTAGACGGTAGTCAAAACAAGCCCGGAAAACTCTGGGGTCGGATGGCATCAAAACAGAACTCTGTGCGTTCTGAGCTGGTTTGGTGTGGCAGCACCGAGCAAGGATGCAGGCAGCTCGCGGCTAGCATGCTGGGGGATCTTCCGTTCGGCAATGATACGAGGTATGTGGATCCCATCTTATCGGACCCTCCTCAATGTATAATTTCCCGTTCGGGTCAAAAGTTCGTTTGGGTCCCTTGATACTCTAGCGAAGCTAAACCATGCTCCTTAGAACCCTTCCCGTTCTAGAAAAGCAATTTGTGCTTGTCTGTCAGTGCTAGATTGGGCCTTCCCGTTGGGTCGGTATCAAAGTTTCTCGTTCGGGTAGGATTGCCTTCGTCGAATCAAGAAAAATGTGTTGGGCGGGGTCGGACTATGGACCTGTGAGTGTTCGGGAAGTCCTGGCCGTTCGGGCAAGGAATATAGTTGTCAAGTCTTAAGACCGTTCCCTTCATTTATGTTGAGCTAAGACGGCCGGAGCGGTGACTTTACCATTCTGACTTAAGTTGATCCGCCACTACCGGGTATGACCAGCCCTCTATGTGGGCACCCTCTTGGTTCGGGGTACACCTGGATACGGAGCACGTTTGGCAGAGCACTTCCGTTCGGCCCCTGTAAGAGATGGTATACTGGTAGTCTCCTAGGACTCCCTCCTGGTACGGTTATTAGCCTTGCCGTTCGGGAGTTCCCGTTCGGGATTCGGCGTCTCTTCTTTGGATAAGAGTCAATCTGTCCAATCATCAGAAAGTAGAAAGTGTTGTCAGGCTTTTCCACGTGAGAGTATGGAGTCATCCCTCCCTATTGCCAAGTTGGTGGGTTGGCGGGTCCCATCCATCATTAACTCCTATTGACGGTGGTGTTGCACATGAGAGATCCCATAACACCTCCTTTCTGTTTTCCATGAGATAAGCTTGCACCCTTTGTTTGATCTACGCTGCCAATCTGCCATCTAGTTCCCACCCAGAAGTTCTGCTGAGTTGGTGGGGCTGCAGGGACCAAGGATCAAGCTACCAGACTGGACCTGGACTTATTCCCTTCTTTCCTTCTTTCTGGGAATCATTTTTCCCTCCTTTTCTTCCTTGATTAATCTTTCCATTTTCCTATCAAATTCTTGTAGAGATGGCAAGAACACATGTAACTTTTTTAAATTTTCCCACAGACGGCGCCAATGTTGAGGTTTAGTCCCGTAGATCCGGAAGCCCAACATAAACTTCGGATATTAAGGACGATGGATTCGGTATAAAAGTGAATAATAAATATAAAAGGTGTATGAACTAGCTATTTTTACGTGGAAACCCGGAAAGGGAGAAAACCACGGGACTTTTTAGGCTAACGTCCAAGCCCGCTCTTTTCATTCATCTGCTCTCCTCACCATTTTACATGCTACAAATAACTTGGAGCCTCCATTAATGGAGCTCATGTTCCTAGCTACAAAGGGAGAAGAAGAAGAAAGCAGTAAAGAAGGAGAGCCAAAGATCTGATCCTTTTCCCTGGAAACATTCCTCCCTATTTATAGAAAAGGGGAAGGGGTTAAGGGTTTCTCTAATGGGCCAATAGGCCCAAATGGGCCGGTTGGGCCGGTTGGGCCTAATTGGGCCTAGCTGACTGGGCTCCTTATCGGGACGATGCCTCGGGCCTCAGAATAGTAGTAGGCCGGGATATTATTCCCCAACAATACTATAAAAACTTTATATAGTATATATTATATTTTGTTTAGTCATATTCAATTAAAATTACAAGTTTAGTCCCGTGTTGGGTTGTTGTTGAAAAAACCGGTATTTACCCACAGACAGTTGCATGTTGTAGTATCAAGGTTACAAATCATTGTGGTTTGAAAATTCTAATTGTGGATGAAGATGAATGAACCACTGACAAGACTCAAAATGTTGTACTCAAAGGAGTGTTCAACAATGTTTAGGTTTACATTAAATGCATATTTACAATGTTATGGTTTCAACGTATTTGTTGGATGTTTTTGATCTTTTAAGTAATGCTTAGTACTCTCATTTTGACCATAATATTATAAGTGTGTTTCGTTTAATGCTTTGATGTATATCAATATTACATGAAGATAGATGATATCATCAATTGATAGTGTGATTTGAATTACTAAGCGCACATAAATTTGAAAAAAAAAATCTCAAACCGTGCATCGCACGGGTGAGTTTACTAGTTATTAAAAATATATAAGATATTCTTGTTATCTATGGTAACACGCACATGAGGTAGTATATACGTTTGCATGTGGGATTTAGGATGTTTTTACTTGGACTGTAATTTATCCCAGAGACCCAGACCAGACCAGACCAGACCAGACCAGACCAGACCAGACTTGGATAGTTATAAAAATACAAAGAAACCAGACCTTACCAGACCAGACCAGACCAATTCAGACCAGACCAGACCAGATCAGACCAGACCAAACCAGACCAGCAAATTACAGTCCAATTAAAAACATCCTTAAATACGAATAATATGCACTATATGCTGATTAGCTTAATGAATATTAGTGATAGTGGTATATGCATATACGTATATATATTTTCACTTGTACGGTAACTGCATAAATGTATTTAGCCGTAAATATTAAGTGTTATTTACTTATTGTAAACTTACGGGACCTTACATACGCGCATTGAATAAGTAAACATAATTAGTATTTATATAGCAAAGAGCATACAGAATACATGTAAGGACATAAACATAAATTATTAGGTTTCCTTTGAAAGAGAAATCAGGCCATACAATAAAAGGGAAAATAAATACGAGTATAGTATACGAAGTATGTTTCAGAATTTTAGACTATGAGCCCGTTTGGTAGCACCAAAATCGGCTGTTTTGGCTGATTCTGCTGAAATTTATGATATTCTGGCTGGAGTGGCTGCTTTGGCTGATTCTGCTGATTTAAGAAAAAAAACATTTTAAAAATATATTTTATTAATAAATTAAAGAAAAAATTATATGTAAAAATAGCTAAAATGGTCCTCTACAGTAACTTCAGTCAATACAGCCAGAAAAGTAACTCCAACCTTACTTTTTCGGCTTATTACACAATTCAGCGCGCGAAAGTAAAAGTTACGTGTTTGGTGAAAAAGCTGGCTGATAAGCCTGATAAGCCGAAAACAGAGTTCTCCAAACGGGCTCTATAAATAATAGCATTATTGTATTATTATTTTTATAAGAAATTCTATCAGGTATGTATATATTTTAGAGGAAAAAATTTAACTACGGGGTATAAGTCTTCAAGTATGATTAGAAGAGAGCACATGCATATAACTATACTTATTGATACTTTCTGATTATTATATTTTTCAATATTACATGATGAATTTATGAAATATTTTGGAAAAGGGCCTTACTCTAGGATTTAGATGATAGTTTTGGGTACCTCTGTTCTGTTTAAAGTTTTGGGTACGAGTTGGTTTTACCGACTATGACTCCTCTGGTGTGCTAGCATACGTCCCAGGCCAGGGTCCTCTGAATCTGAATCTCTGAATCCGAAGTTTCTGTTATCTGACGATCCTTGTGATCTGAAGATCTCTGTTATCTGATGGATAAAGTAACTAGAACTTTGTTCAAAATTACTTTATTCGTACCCTTACCTAGAGTCTAGTCCTAAGAGTAAAGGCTGAAATCAGACTGATGTGTGTTTTCCCGCACTTAAAATAGTTGTAGAAAAGTGGTTGAAAGTACGAGTATCGTCTCCACAGGGACGAACAAAAGGGAATTAAAGATTAACTAAATTCAGTGATTAAAAAGAAAAAAAAATGCAATTGTGCGAGATTGGTTGATTGAGTAAAATAAAACTAATGCTAATGAGCGAGTAAAAAGATTGGTTTTTTCCTTAATTAACGACGAAGGGAACATGAATTGATTCCGGGGTTAACCAGATTTCTGGCAGATCAGGCCTAATTACATTAAATTGATTTAATTGAGCCTAGCTAATCATTACTAAGTTCTTACCGCTCTCGCGGCGTAGAGTACAATAGTTTAGGGGACCAGACTGATCTCTCATGCGACAGGTTCCTAAATTATTGCCAAAACGAGCGAGCTTACGGCCCCTTAATCGCTACTAATCTCTTAGCGAACGATTAAGTGTGTGTATGTGAATGTGTCCTAGAACAAATTAGATCTCTCTTAATTCATTCTACATGCAATTGTAATTCTAGCTGCAGTCTAGGTTACAAGAGATATCAATTAAATTATTCAAACACAAATTAAACGACATTCATGCAATTAAACCGAAAGGAATCTAGCCATTCATCATGATTAAACCCTTCATCAACTCCAAATCCCTAATTAATGAATAAATTGTCATTAATTAAAAGAATTGAACTTACAAAGAATCCCAGGTTCTTGAAGTAAACAACGTAAAAACGTAGATGAAATTCGTCCTAGGCCTCTCCACAAAGTTTGTAAACCCTCAAAAGGGGTATGGAGGCCTTATTTATAGAAAACAGTAGAATTTGAGCTGTATTAGGACAAAACGGGGCCAAGCACGACGTCAGGCACGATCGTGCCTGGGATCGTGCCTGCGGAGCATGCGCGCGTCTCGGGTGGAGGCACGATCGTGCCTGGCTGGCAAAATGTTTGCGTGCCATCCTCTTCCAGGCATGGTCGTGCCTGGCCCAGGCACGGTCGTGCCTGGGCTTTTCTTCATCAGATTTCGCCGTTTCTTGCTCCAAATGCTCCCGGATGCAAACGAGGTCGACCCAAATGCTCTATCTTCATCAGAATTTCGTCGTGAATCTCCCGGTGACCTCCGAATCTCTCAAATCTTCTTCGAATGCCTTCAAATCCTTCCCGAATGCCTCTCAAGCGCCGATTGCCGGGCTCTAACTTCTTCAATTCAACTCCAATTGCAACGAAACTCGATCCAACGCCTGATAATCACAACTTGAGCTAAAATTGAGACTTGCAACGCCTTAAAGCTAGGAAAACCATCAAAACCGACTCCAACACGCATCAAATGCGTGTCTAAATACAGACTTATCACAGACGAATAAAGTGTTGAGTATTCTGAAAGTTGGATCCTCCTTTTGTGAATTTGAACAAGAAGTATGTACGGTTATTTTTCCTTAAGGGATATGATATATGTTTCTGTTTACTTTTACGTGAAATTAAATCACTTAAACATGGTTTGAAAGATGTACTACGTACAAGTTATGAAATGATCTGAACTAAAAAAAAGTGGGAATTAGGATTATATAAAATCTTCATAGGTATTTCCTTTAACATAAAGTTTTGACTAATTTCTTATGATTCATCATTCAGTGTGGTTTCTATAGTGAAAGTGTGCAATATGTGTAATATAATGTACTCCGTATATTTTAACGTTTAATGATATGAATACTTGTCAATTATTCGAGTAACAAATATGAATTTGTATGTTACTTACATGTTATATTATAGTACCATTCAGCAATTCTATTGAGTGTGTAGTTTTTTTTTCTACACGTAGGTGAATACGAGAATCAAGTTGGAGCCCAGGACAATGAGACATCTGGATAGGACAGCATTGCACGCGTTTTATTTCACCGTCATGTTTTAAATAAGTTGGTACAACCAACACCGTTTTAAAAATTATTATGCTAATGTAATAATCGGTGTTTTATTTCAAGTTGTTATGTATTTGATTAATTGTCTTTTATTTTCATACTACCATTGAACTGAAATAATATCAATCTGATTATTTGTTTTCTATGGAAAATATTTTTCTAAAATAGCTATAAAGATATATTTTTATTAAAAGATAAACGACAGTGGCATCCGTCCCAAACTGACCAGTCTGGACGGGGTGGGTGTTACAACGAGTACGGCACAACCTGATCCATTGATCATCGATGTAGAACACCCCTCCCATGAGATTATCTCTGATTACAGTTATGTCCACGAATCATTACTGGAGGACGCTCCGATGTTTGATATGATTCTAAAGAATCGAGAAATCTCAATGGATAGTGAAAATGCACATATGCTAATGGAAAGATCTTCCATACACATCGATGATATATTTGCATTTACCGTTGCTCAAGAAATTATAGAGCATGATGATATTGAACCACGCTCTATTGTAGAATGTCAACAAAGAGCGGATTGGCCTAAATGGAAAGAAGCAATCCAGGTAAAACTACATTCTCTAACAAAAACACAGGTATTTGGTCCGGTAGTGCTAACCCCACCAAGTGTAATGTCTGTAGAACATAAATGGGTATTTGTCATAAAGCGAAATGAGAAGAATGAAGTCTTAAGGTACAAGGCTCCCCTCGTGGCGCAAGGTTTCTCACAATGCCCTGGGATTGACTACGAGGAGACCTAGTCTCCCGTAATGGACGTTATAACGTTCCGATACCTAGTCAGTTTAGCAGTTTCTGAAGGACTGAAGATGCAACTAATGGATGTGGTTACTGCATATCTCTGTGGGGATCTTGATTTATATATATATATATATATATATATATATATATATATATATGAAAGTGCCCGAAGGACTTTCACTACCCAAATCAAGTGACTCTAAACCACGGAGTGCGTTTGCAATCAAATTGAAGCGCTCACTTTAGGGATTAAAACAATCTGGAAGAATGTGGTATACCCGCCTAAGTGACTACTTGATTGGGAAGGGATATAAGAACGATGAACTATGTCCCTCCGTATTCATTAAGAAAACAAGTTCCGGATTCGCAATTGTGGTTGCATATGTTGATGATATGAACATAATTGGTACTCTTGATGAAATAAGAGAAAACGCCAGCCATCTGAAATCTGAATTTGAGATGAAAGACCTTGGCAAAACTCGATTTTTTCTAGGCCTTGAGCTAGAACATCGAGTTTGTGGAGTATTAATCCACCAGTCTGCGTATATCCAAAAGATGCTCAGGCGATTTAATATGGATAAAGCGCACCCCGCTAGCACTCCCATGGTTGGTCAAAGTTTAGATTCTAAAAAGGATCCATTTCGTCCAAAGGAAGACGACGAAGAAGCACTCGGAGCCGAAATTCCCTATCTAAGTGAAATAGGGCGCATTATTGTACTTAGCACAGTGCACTCGACTAGATATAGCATTCTCACTGAACTTGTTAGCTAGGTTTAGCTCCGCACCAACGCAGCGTCACTGGAATGATATCAAAAATATTTTTCGGTATCTAAAAGGAAGTAATGACTTGGGACTGTTCTTTCCCTACAGAGAGACAAAGGAAACCACGAATGAAATTTTGGTTACAAAAGAAAATACCAAAGACAAAAGGATCACCCCTTATACGAAAACTCCAAATGATGTCTTGGTAGGTTTTGCTGATGCTGGGTATCTCTCTGACCCTCACAAAGGCCGCTCTCAAACTGGTTATGTTTTCACTGTTGGGAACACGACAATATCTTGGAGATCAACTAAACAAACCCTTGTGGCTACCTCCTCGAACCACTCTGAGATTATCGCTCTACACGAAGCAATTCATGAGTGTATATGGTTAAGACCTATCATTACACATATTTGAGGAACTAGTGGTAAAATCTACCACTGAAGGGCCTACTTGCATTTATGCAGATAATGCAGCTGGTATTGAACAAATGAAGTTGGGATATATCGAGGGTGATAACACAAAACACATATCTCTAGAGTTTTTCTACAATCACCAACAACAGGCTCTTCTCAAAATTCAAGTGAATCAAATGAGCTCGTAAGAAAACGTAGCAGACTTGTTTACCAAGTCATTACCCAAAGCCACTTTTGAGAAACATGTACTACCTCCGTCCCATTTTATGTGTCTTAGTTTGACTTGGCACGGTTATTAATGAAGGGGTTGAAAAAGTAAAAGTTGTGGTTGAGATTTGAGTATAATAAAGTGAAATGGTGTAGACCACATATTTCTTTCCAAATAAAGAAAGGAGACACTTATTTTGGGACAACCCAAAAAGGAAAGTAAGATAGGTAAAATGAGACGGAGGGAGTAATATTTTTTCTTCACAATGAAAACCGAACTACCAACAGTCAATATGATGACTTTGTTGGAATGGACAACACCATGACAATCACATTAAACAACTTTGGCTCATCTTTTAACAGATCTGAACTGTATATATTACCAATGCAATACCATTTTTTTTACCATGATTGTGACGTTTTTGAGTGGGAATTTGATCATTTTCTCATCTTGCTTTGTATATAGATAGATGTTTATTGGCGATTTGGCTACATAGCCAATATGTCAGTTTTGCTCTATTTCCATTTTAAAACAATTGACATGAGGCTGAAGTTCAAGGATTCTGAATTCGCACGGGAATGACGGGATGAAGCAAAAACATGATGCCTTAAACGGGTCAATCTGGACCCAAACTCCAAACCGAGAACTATTGACCTTTCCGGGTAGGGGTGGGAAAAACCGAACTGAAACCCGGAAACCGACCCTGGACCGACCCGAATGATCCCGGTCCGGATTTTTTATTTTTAACCGGCCCGAATTAAAAAAAAAAACGGACCAAATCGAAAATTCCGGGCTCATTAACGGGCCTTAAAATCTATAACCCGGCCCGGACCGAAAAAACCCGAAATTAGTTTTAATATAAAATTAATATAGTATGTGAATATAAATAAAATATTTTCTAATATATGATTATAATCACGGTGGATAAAAAAGATTTAGTAACTTTTAGTGACTACAAATATGTTGAATTTGTTTAGCGTAATGATGACCATGAGAATATATTTATAGCAACTCTAGTAACTTTTTTATTTATAAAATTTATTTCGTAATATTTTGAAGAAACCTATATTATTTATATATATACATCTTACATTTTTTATCATCAATATATACATCTTACATATAATATTAAGATAATTATCTTCTTCAAATTTGAATTGTTAGTGATTTTGGAGACTAATATTTGTGTTATTATTTGCGGTTTGTATTTTTGATTAATTTTATTTGAAAATAAGTGTTAAATAATATAAAAGAACAATGACATATTTCACGTACGGGCTTTAACCGGTCCAACCCGAACCCGGCCTACCAAAAACCCGGCTCTTACCGAATATAATGGGCTTTGTTCCAGTCCATAATTTTCATAACCCGAGACCTTCCGAGTAATTTCCGAGTTTAGCAAAAACTCAATCCAGACCGGACCGATCCCACCCGTAGTTCTGGGTGGCCCATACATATGATCCGCTACACAAGAAATGCCCAGAAAAGGCAACAATCCAAACCCGCGTGGCCCCACTTTCCTTTCGGTTTAATTCGTTTCCGTTGATTCTCTCGCCGATCGCACGTTAACTCATTTCCCCACCGTCACCGCCAACCTCCGCCGGAAGATGGGAATTTCGTGGAGTAAACGACAGCAGCAGCCGCAGCAGCAACTTCCACCGCCGTCTCTCTCGCAACTTCCGCCGCCGTCCCTCTCGCAAGTTCCACCGCCAGAGCAACCTCCATCTTTATCCAGTCCTCCTCCGCCCCTCCCTCCGCCTCCGCCGGCACTACCCTGCGTTGTTTTCGGAGCTAGTTCACCCTATCCCGCCCCCTCCCAGAACCCTTATTCCTCGATCCCCGTTCCTTACACGCGTCAGTCCACAGGCCCCTTCAATCACGACTACAATCAAACCAATCGACCTTTTATTTACCGTAACAATTACCATCCGTCCTATTACCTACCACAAGCTCATGGATGGTATGGGTCCCGCCCCCCTCCGCCACCGCCACCGCCCTTGCCTGCGGTTCCCTATGTAGATCACCAGAACGCGAGGAAGATCAAGAATGACGTAAATGTGCACAAAGATACTATAAAGCTAGAAGTTGACATGCTCAATAAGGATTGCCATTTGGTGTCTTTTATTTTGGATGCAATGGTGGATGGAAGGTATACTTTGAATATCTGTTCTTACCATCTTGAGGTATAAAACGTTTGGAGTATATTCTAAAATGATCATGTACTTTAGATTGATTGCAGTAGTTTTTCAGTATCTTGAATGGACTAGGCTGTAGGTTAACGCTTATGCTTAACTTAAGTAGGTTAGCTGTGGAGTGGAAACCAGTGGTAGGGACATGGATTCATGGAAAGGCTATACAGTGATTCAAATCTTTTCCTACTGTGCGTGTATCCTATATATGAACATACATTTATAATTTATAAAAACATGTTGAAATATTAATCCTTCTCTTTGCTTTTTGTCCTTGTAAAGTATGAAGTTTTGACAATTTTCTAAATCGGGCCTTCTAGTACAATATTCCTAGCTTCATCATTGGGTAAAATATTATTATAAGCTGAATCACTATTGCAAGCAAACATGTTTTATAATTTGAAAACCACGTGCTTTCAAAACATATTTTATGTTTGAAATTTGAAAACATTGTTCAGTGTCTGGGTTGCTGTTTGATAAAGCGCTCTTTAGAGAACAGATAAAACACCATTTTGAAATTTGAAGTGTCTAGGAGATTTGTTGTTTGGAGGGAAAATAACACTTCGGGACCTGCAATTATTGCCAGGTTTGAGGGAAAATAACACTTCAGGCCTTTTCTCTATGGCAGACGAGGCTTAAACCACGAGGCAGTATGAGGAGTAATCCTCAAACTTCATTGCATTTTGTATTGAAATTGAAGATATCGGACACAAAAAAATTGGAAAAGTACCACGCATTAAATTTAGATACTCCTAAGCCACATCACAAGTTTGAAAACAGGGTTAAAAGCATAGGATCACAAGTGCATAGGTAAGCACAGGAGACTCGTGCAAGAATCCCACATGAGTTCAAATATGAAAAGGATTTTGAGTAATATTCTAATGCCTATAACTTTGCAAGATTTTATCGACAAGTGAAAATGTTTTTGAATGACTTCAAACAACTCAGATATGCTTTTAAATCAAGAAAACTCGTTTGGGATGAAACAGCTTGAGCAGTTATCTATAAATATGGTGAAGTACCGAAAAGCGGATACACTAACTACATTTCATTGTTGCCAAGCATGTGTGTAGAGTTGTAGACTAAAGAGATAGGAGTTGCAGTTTTTTTTGCATTGTCTCTATCAGGATATGAATTCCTAATAACTCGTGATCTTTAATCTTCTTGTTCGGGATTTTCTATCTTTGAAATCCATACTAGAACTGCTCAAGCATCATGGTCTTCTAATTCCGTATTATGCCATAGAAGGGAGAGAGTTATTATTGTAAGGTTTTTCTTTTTATTTAACCTTCATTTTGTTTCCATTAATAAGTGACGAGCTTTTTATTCAAAGAAGGATTACACACTATAGTAATACAAAGCTCGTAAACTTGCAAGCTATTCTACCTCATGCTAATGGGGCCCACACTTCTCACGCGCCTCCGGGTACAGGGCCTTGTTAGTGCTTATGTGTGTCTCACATCCTTAACAATTGTTATAGTGTTTGTCTCGCATCTGTTAAATACTATGTATTAAATAATAAACCAACAAATAAGATCATTGTGTACTTCTTTTATGAGATTGACTTTTAAGGAAGTCTGTTTGAGACTGCTTTGACCCTTTTATTACCCTTCAAGCTATCCCAACCGGGTTTTGACGGAGAGGGCATGTTGAAGTGTTTGTCTCATATGGTTGAATATAAAGTAATAATCTTTTAGATGGAATTCAAGTCTCATTAGTTTAAACTCTGCCTTATTAAAAGTTAAAGATGATAAGTAGAGTTTTAGTGCCTTCAATATTCGCGTTTCCGTGTCTCCTAGCCCACCCCACTTTTTTTTGGTAACTCATACCTTATGCAACATATAAATGCCTTACATACTCTCATTCATAATTTGTTTGTAATTGCAGCATTTCTATTTTATACTTTGGTAAGGAAGGGACCAACTGTAAATATACTCCGGTGTACACAGACATAAAACCAGTGAGAGTCCCTTTCCAGAAAGGATTGGGCCAAAAGTTTTGCCAGCCTGCGGGAAGTGGCATTGATTTGGGTTTCTTTGACATAAATGACCTGTCGAGACCTCTACCTGGAGAAAATGCTTTCCCACTTGTTATATTAGCAGAGTCATGTCCGCCATCAACATCTGTGGAGGAACTTGTTCCCGATGAGCTACAGTCCAGTAAATTTTTGCATGCTCAAATCACAGAGGCTGTTATAGAGAGGCACAGTGATGATAATTTTCAAGTGAAAGTAGTCAAGCAGATATTGTGGGTTGAGGGGGTTCGTTATGAGTTGCGTGAAATTTTTGGGATTGGCAAACCAGATGAGGCAGCCATAAATGAGGACTCAGGAAAAGAATGTGTCATTTGCTTGACTGAACCAAAGGATACCGCAGTTTTGCCTTGTAGACATATGGTAAGAGTATACTCTTTTAATACCTACAAACTGCACTTTTTTTAGTGTAACTCCTGAAGAAATGGCATGTCACATGATATCTCTCGGTGTAGATATAGTTGTTAGAACTTAGAATATCATAAGTGATGCACTTGTCTATATAGGGACAAACTCTTGTTGCTTGATTTGCATATTAAATATCATTATGACAACTTTTACCATTTTAGACAATGTTTCAGTTCTTATTGCCTACAGACTACAGTTTGCTAAAACACTTTCTTTTGAGGCCTCTAAGGAGCAAAATACCATCATGCATCTGCATCTCTATTGTAATAAGTAAGAAGGTATATGTTAAATGGTAGCTCGGAGCCTCGGAGTCTCACGGTCTCACCCTCCTATGCAAGTTTAAGCTTGTATGGTTTTCTTTTTTTTTCTCCTTGGAGGCTTGAACATTATGTGCACTCTGTTTGCATTTTAAAATCCTCATCTAAATTTGATTGATGGACATTTGGTAAGATATCAGATTCTCATCAGGAGTGGGAACTATTCCTTTTGGGTGCTTTTACATATGTGAAGCATTACAAGAGTAAAGAATCCATTTTAGCAAATTTTAATATCGATAAAACTCAGGATTGAGTTGGGGCCAGTGGGCCATAACACACTTGCGACAGACCACAATAAAAGATTGAGGTCAACCTGTTCTCGCTACTTTTATCCCATATCTTATTTAACGTATTATTTTTCCTTCATTTTCGTGTGTGAGATTATAGCACTCCCCTCAAGTAGACTACCGGGCTATTTTGAACTAAATGAGTTGTTCACTTGGAATTTGACTGCTTCTGGAACTGAAGCTTAAAGGCATAGGCCAAGAGGGTTTTATAGGCAGGGTGCTAAGATCCAGGGACAGCTAGGTAGTATTTGTTCTGTCAGGTCCTGAGTGATTGGACCATGAACCGCAATGCGGGGCTGTTAATAGTGGGTCAGGTTTGCTTTGATACCCTGATAGAGTTCAGCATTGTGCTGGGGTTACTGAGTTTGACCCTAAGTTACTTCGGCCTAATTACACTAAAAGATTCAATTCAACCTATTAGCTAGTCCAAGTGCCCAACCCCTCGATCTTTTTAACCCATATTTTCCTTAATTTTCTGGTGAGAAACTCAACAGTTATCTTTCAATTATATGATTCATGGTAGTTGTACGGTTGTACCTTATGAGAATTTAAAAGTTGTACCTTAGTCAATGACTGAATGGTAACTCTCTTTTGGGATGTATATTTGCTATATCTCCCTCAGCCTATAATGCCTGTCTTTATTTAACTCTGTACCTGAACTATTTTGGCTCCCTTTGTTCTGTTTGCAGTGTCTGTGTGGTGAATGCGCCAAGACTTTAAGACTTCAATCAAACAAGTGTCCGATATGCCGTCAACCCATTGAAGAGCTTCTGGAGATCAAGGTTAATGAAGGTAGCCACTAAAATGCTCATAAGATCATATACACAATCGCTAATTATAATGACTAACTTACTATCTCTTTTTCTACCTAAAAGGTTTGACAACTTTTACCGACACGTCAAACATAGTAAAAGAATAAAACCGCATTATGGTTGGAATTCTATTATAAGAAGTGAACAACCAGGGGTGGAGACAGGGGGAGGCTGGCGGTGGCCACGGCCCCTGCAAGAAAAAAATTGTGATGTATATATACATGTACAAATATTTATAAGTAGTGAAAAATATAGTGAAAATTAGGGCTTGTTTACTAACAGAAATATTTTCCAGTTTTCCAGAAAACTGGAAAACTGGAAAACAGAAAACAGGAAACGTGTTTACCAAAGAAATTCCTGGAAAACTGGAGAAAGGAAAAAAGAAAAACGCGTTTACCAAATCATTTTCCAAAACGGAAAAAATGAAACATGTCTCTCTTTTCCTTAATGATTTGGAGAAGTGACTTTTACTAGTTTTCCAAATTTGGAAAACGCAGATGCTATAGTGCCTTTGCAATGAATTTGCATACTTACACCTAGTGGTGTATCCGGTCCCGCTCCGATGTCGATTCCATTCCGGTACCTCCATCCTCGTACCTTACCCCTTACCCCTACCCTACCCTACCCTACCCACCCAACCCCCACCACCCCGCGTACCCATTTTTCCCTATAATGACCTTACCCCACCCCCCACCACATGCCCCGACCTCGGCCCCACCCAGATCCACCCTACCCCACTGCCACCCCCTACCACCTCGACCCCACCTCGATCCACCCTACCCTACCGCCACCCCCTACCACCTCGACTCCACATCGATCCACCCTACCCTACCCTACCGCCACCCCCCTACCACCTCGACCCCACCCCGACCCACCCTTCCCTACCCCCCACCCCTCGTATATTACCACTTACCCCTACCTTACACCTTACCACATGCCTCCTACCTCGGCCCCGCCCCACCGCCATCCTACCTCCACCCCCATACCGCCATCCTACCCCCACCCCCGTACCGCCACCGTACCCCCACCCCACCCTACCCCCACCCCCACCCGGATCCCGGGCCCACCCTACCGCTATCCTATCCCAACTCCCTACCCTACCCCTACCTTACCCCAACCCCAAACCCTACCCACTACCCCCACCCTTACCGCCATCCTACCCCCACCGCCATCCTACCCCTTCCCTACCCCAGCCCCACCTGGTCCCGACCCCACCCTATAGCCATCCTATCCCAACTCCATACCCTACCCCTACCTTACCCCAACCCCAAACCCCACCCACTACCCCCACCCTACCCCCCACCCTACCCCTTCCCTACCCCGACCCCACCCTGGTCTCGACCCCCACTCTACCGCCATCCTATCCCAACTCCCTACCCTACCTCTACCTTACCCCAAACCCTACCCACTACCCCACCCTTAACCCTAACCACGACCCTATCCCACCCACTACCCCCACCCAACCCCTACCCCTAGACCTTACCACCCCACCCCGACATACCCCTTACCCCTACCCGACCCCTACGGGTAGGTATGGGTGGGTATGAAGGGTTGTGGTGGAGTATGGGTAGAGTGTAAGATCGTGGTAAGGGTAGAGGTAGGGGTCAAGGGTGTGGAATTGGAGAACTGTGTGAAACAATTGATGAACATGTTTTCAAATTTGAAAATGGAAAACTAAAAAAATAGAAACAGAAAATTGGAGATAGAAAAACTGAAAAATAAAAACGGAAAATTGGAGAACGAAAAACTGAAGTAGAAAACAGGAAAATATCTCTGTTAGTAAACAGGCCCTAAGTTTTGCCCCCTGCTGTATAAATTCTTTAAGCCCCGGCCCCTGTAACCTGTCAATCCTGGCTCCGCCACTGTGAACAACATTTAGCACTTTTCTTTCCCTGAAGAGAAAGTGTCAAAAATTTTTGGGACAACCATATTTTTTTTTGGCAAATGGGACAACCATATCAAGAAAGTTAGCATTTAGAATCTTTTAGGAGGAAGTATTAGTTTATCACAATTGCTATTATTATGATTATTATTAGTGCGATTAATATTATGATCATCATTTTATGGAATCCATGCACTCTTAAATTAATAATATGCTAGATTTATGCCCCTCTTAGCACTCTCTTACAAAAAAACGTTGTATAGAGCCTATTTGGTTACTAATAAGTGACTTTAGAAACTTATTTTGCCGAATTAGATTTACTAAATGCTTTTTTCCTTTTAGAAAATTCAGCATATTTAGCTATATCAGCCAAATTACAATATTATCTGTTGTATTTGATTATAAATTATAATGCCTAACTGTTAAGTGATGTGTTGAGATGGATCAACCATGCACAAGACACAATAGTAACCTTATTGTTTCATAGATGAAAAATAACGTCCTGTTTTTTCAGGTTCATAGGCATCACCAAAAGCTTGGATATGGCAAAGCAACATGTATACCTGTCCGTGGAAGATTAATAATCATTGCCGCTTGCAGAATAGTTTTGTAACAACGTTCCCTAATCAAAGTAATCAGCAACTATATTCACTACGTGGTGTTGTATATAATCTGTGAATTGGTCCAGTTATAATAGTTTTTCAATTATTTGATCATCTTATCTTCATCTATTTGGGGCATTTTCATTCTTATCAGTGCTCTCTTCCTGTCAAATAATGGCCTAGAGGATAGACTGAAAATATCAATTTTGGGTTTAATTGGATTGCTTTCGGTAACATATGAGACTGAGTTTAAACAAATGAGATCAGACTTAGACTTGTAAAATTAGACTTAGACTTTTAAAATTGTAAAATATACGCGAATCAGACATCTATTTGATAAAAAAAAAGACTAAATTTTGTAGCTTTCGGAGGGGTATTTCAACCCACTTTGACTTTCAACCGCTGTACCAAAAGCAAAGGAAGCCTCCAATGCACCAGTAGTTGTCATTATTTCTTTGTTTTCTAGTAAATTCAAATATAGTGACCAAGTAAAGAAAAGAAAGTGTACTTTTTTTATTAACCAAATGAAGAAATTATCCAAATTTTACTTCTTATATTGAATTAAGGTGTTCTTGAAGTTATAACTATTCATTAAAAGGCAAGCATAAGTGTGCCTGTTTTCTCTCGCATTAGGCGATGTAGGGCTTTCCCGCCGTTTTGTCGCGTGGCTTCGCTTGCGGTCTTCTTCACTGGTGCAAAGAAATCAGATTGGAGGAGAGACTGGTCATCAGGGTACGTTTGGGATGTGTTCCAATTTTTTGTGGTTGGACAACCCGCATGCATAAAAGAAATGGGTAAAACTTTTGATATTCAAGGAGGTTGTGACTTTCATATGGAGACCGGTAAAAGGTATTTCTATAAAAGAAATTGACACTAAAATGTATTCACTTACATTTTACTATGAAGTGTACATGAAACGTGTTCTCAAGAGGATTTATGATTTGTGATAGGCCTTGTGAAAAGTTATACTTGATCAAAGAATCTATAATTTATATGATTTTCATCTTTCATGTATAATTTTTGGTCACACGGTTTTTACACTAAATTCTCATACTCCGTATATGGCAAGACTCAAGAAAGGAGTTAATGTTGCAAGGGAATATACGATGTGTATTTTTTCCTCAATCCTATCTATAAGGCTAACCGCAACCCAGCCCGTCAATAAATCTAATTTCAGACCAGTTTATACGTATTCACTCAGTCAATTCAGTTTTTTCCTGCAACCCAGTACTGTCAATATATTCACTCAACACCTATTTTTTTAAAATTAAATGCATAAACCTTCACTTTTTTAATACACATCAGTTATGTGACACTTTTATTTTTATCAATAATTATGATTTAAAAATTCAAACATTTCAATGTCAAAAAAATTAAAATTTTTAAATATTTTTTGTAAGCAAAAGTGGTATATTGAAATAAATATAAAAGTGGTGTTTATATTTAAATTCTGGTCCAATATTTTGAAAAATATTAATCAAAAAATGAAATTAATTATTTCATCATTATGGATCTAATTTTCAGCCATTAGATTTAACTACAATAATTTTTTTGAGCCCAATGATTTCTTGCCGTTGGATCTTGCTACAAAAGTTTTTTTAAAAATAAAAGTTATTTTTAATATGCATAGTTGCACAAAGCAAATAGGATGGAGGAAGATGCACGCACATACCATGTCCACAAAATAGCCCACTGGAGCCTAGATTGCAAGAATCGGCAGCAAGCAATGGGACCGGGGTGAATTGGCCGGCTATATCTCCCTCCCCAATGTTTCACTAATTCACTATGAGATCTTGCTATATGAAAATTGGCTTGGGTTGCAGCCAATTTTGGCGTGAAAACTTCCCATTTGGCTTTTCCCCCCTTCCCATTGCGATCAGCCTAATGCCTGTCAATCTAACCCTGTGTCTGACTTTTTTTGGCTCTATCAGTAGGACAGCATTGTAAGTTATTGTCTCATAAATGAAAAAATAATTATGTAGTTGTGCTTTTTTTCAGCTCATAGGCATCACCAAAACATGTACAAAAATGCTATTCCTACCCCACTTTGTGAACCACAAAAATAGGGTGAAGTACAAAATGAGGTACAAAATGGGGTACCTATAGCAAAGTTGAAACATGTATATCTGTCCGTGGAAGAATAATAGTTGCTGCTTGCACATAAGTTTTGTAACAATGTGCCCTAAATCCTCATCAGTAACATTATTCCATACATTTGTTGTACTCCCTCCCTAACGAAAAAATCTTTCGACTTACCTTTTTCGTCCGTAACCAAAACAATACACTTTTATTCTTTTTTCATTATTCTTAATCAACCCACTTTTAAAATGGAAACATTTCTCCTTTTACTGAGAATAGTCTGGGAGTTAGACCAATTTTGATCTTCCTCCAAGTTCAACATCCCTTCCTCGCAATTTTATCCTTATTATTAATCACTTTCCGTGTTCCAAAAGACTATTAAAGTCCGCTAAGGTCTAAGGGTTTGTTTACAATTGCTTCTCCTTAAAAAAAAATACTTTTTGGAAAAAGTGATTAGTAGTAAAAGTTGATAGTGTTTGGTAAAATAAGTGCTTTTTGTGTAATAGAAAGAGTAAATCCACTTTTCGCACGAAAGCCGAGAAAAGTAAAAGTTTGTAATGTTTAGTAAAATAAGTGTTTTTAAGCCAAAAGCTGGGAAGTGCTTTTTTATAGAGTTTGAAAACAAAGCCTAATGTGTGAGGCGATGTAAAAATAAGTCGTTAAGTGTGACCAGGCGGGAGTTTTTCAAATATGCTTTTATTTTTTTGAAAGGAAAGAAATGGTTTCAGCATTTAACAAAATTCTCTTCCGTAACACGAAGTATATTCTAAAGCAACTAAAAATATTATAAAGCATTTAGACTATGTTTGGCAAGCAAAAGTAGCCTTTTAGCTTTGGGGTTTTGGCATGAATACTACTAAAAACTGGACCTGCACAAAAGAGGGTTCGGGCCGGGCTCGGGCCGGGCTTTTCATAAGTTTTCTACTCATCGTGTGTGGGGGGCCCCGGCCCGGCCCGCAAAAACGGGCCTAACCCCATGTCCATACCCGCCCGTAAGAGCGGGCCGGGTAGTCCACCGGGCCGCCAGGCCTGAGAAAACTTTAAATTTTTCAAAATTATATAATTTATTTAATACTCCGTACTTTATAAATAATAGGCTAAAGGGTCAAATAGGCCTTGAAACTTAAAGTGTTCAATTAGCCCCTCATATAGGAGGTTCAGCCCGGTCATCCCCAATTGGGGAGGTTCCCGGTAGGGGTGTGCACCGGTCCAAACCCGGACCGGACCGGAACCGGTTAGGACCGGAAACGGAATCTGTATTTTGGATGGACCGAAGACCGGACCTAATTGCAACCGGTCCAGACCGGTCCGGACCTGTTTATTCCGGGTCGGTCCGGTTTTAGACCTGATTGGACCGGTATTAAAATGCACTTTAGTTTTTGAATTTTTTATGAACACATAAATGTGTGCAATCCTTATTTCTTAATACTGCAAACCTGCAATGCATCATGAGTTTATATAATTCAAGTACTAGTCACTAAATGTTAAGATTAAATATTTCCTAAGGCAAGAACTCCCAATAACCGTAACAAATATATCCATCGGACCATCACTGATTGTTGTCTTTATGTATAATGCAGATATGCACTATGTAGTCATGCAACCAGTGGCGGAGCCAGAGAGTTTTCGAAGCGGGGGCGTACTAAAGGCTATGAATTATTATGTATTTTCTCAAAATATAATGAAAATAATAAAAATGTAATACATTAGCACAAATTAGTTCATTACATACTACTTGACTCATATCTATAATCTGGAAATATCAATCATAAGAGTTTTAACTTGTTCAAAATGTTGTATAATAACTTCATGTTGGGAAAGCGCGACCCCCATTCTTTTCCAGGATCACAATCTCATAGACTCTTGTACATTTATATATTGATACACTCATAATACAAAGACTCAATCTGACAATATCAATTTGTATTACTCTCACTCACTCTTTGTATCTGAGACTATTTCACTCTACCTCACTTGTTCACTGCACTTCATCCAACGATATCTTTGAGCTTTCTTTTCTCACAAGACACTCATTCTCCTTCTCAAGGAGACTCCCACTTTCACTCACTCAAGAGCTCTCTTCAAGGTTAGCAAAGAAACAAGGAGCTTCTCTATACTAATCTCATCAAAGCTCCTCTAGATTTTTTTCATACACCACTACACATCTAGATTATTCCAAAAAGTATCCACAAGCTTCTCTAATCTTCTAGAACGATTTAGAAAACACAACAATTCTTTAAAATCCTCTAGAGGCTTCCACACACTTCCACACGATTTTAGTAAGTTCCACAATTCTCTATAAAACTCCACATTATTATTCTAGAACATTCACTACTTCTTTACACATATATAGAGAATCTTGGACATCTCTGAGAATTCTAAAACTCCAATGAATTTCTCCACTAAGGAGGAAATCCAACATAGTCTCGAGAATCTTTTGATCTTTTGTTGCAAGAAATGTGGCAACATATTTGTCAAACTAAACACTTTCTTGCTCACTATAACCACGAAAAGTCAATCTGTGTGACATTAAAGGTCTAAAACTCCACACTTTCATTCAATTGAATGTGGTATGTTGCAGCCAATACTTGTACTCCTAAAAACACATATGTTTCATGAAAGACTTTGCCTTTTATTTTAAAAGTTAATCTAAATTATCCTTAATTGGTATTTATTTTTGTAAAAAACAAGGGGGCACATTAAATATATTATAAGTAGTAGTACTAATTTTTTTTGCCCGAAGCGGGGGCGCTTGCCCCCTCATGCCCCTCCCCAGCTCCTCCACTGCATGCAACCATGTCAAAAAACGAAAGTAACAAGCAATAAAAATATTTTGATCGTTAACTAGTCCATAGCAATTAGGAAACATAACCCACGATACTCTAGTTTTAGCTAAAGAAGCGCAATCTGCCAATATCCATGGCAAAGTAAAAACAAGAATCTGCCCAAAGAGCTACTGTTTAACAAAAAAAATTAAAACAAAAGTCCATGTTGAGTAAAATAATTAACCCTATTAGGTTGTGCCGCCCCAAACCCAATTGACACTATTACACTAA